TTGGATGAGGGAAAGTTTCATTTTCCACTTTTGAATATTAGATGGTGTTGGCAAAACGTGAGAAATTTCCTAGAAGGCAAAGTATCTTGAACAAGTCAAGTATCCAAGTTATTTCAGATACATGACTACTGTTGTTATGGCACTTTCCATACCGTGAGAGGATGTGCCTTTTCATCAAATATGTCAAGAGATCTTACATCTCGGTCTCTGCGATAACAAAGGAAAACAAAATTAGTATCAATAAAATCAAACTGACTCTGATTGTTCACTTTTGACAAAGTTGCTACTAATTTTTGCTTACTAATTTTTAAGACACAATCAAATTAGAGTAAAAGAAGAAAAAAATTGTGCTGATCCCAGCAGGAGACAGGATGTCAGACACATATGAACCTTGGAATGTTTAGTTTGTCTCCACAGGTTATAATTTATCTTTTCCAAAAGGACATGGGCTAATGTTTGACCAAGTTACCGTAATTACTAGAGTTGGACAAACCAGGAAAATTGTCAGTCATACATATAATCTGACTTTAAATTTATTTCTTTAAGCACTATGCAGATCTTCAGCTTCAAAATAATGGGGTGCACAAAAAAGCCTACAGTGACTTCTGACCAACTGCTAGATTCTCCTTCCAAACTGCCTTGTATTTGCTTGCACAACGAAAGGAGAATTAGTTACTTAGGGCCATAATCCACACACCCCTTCGGTCTTTTGATAATATTGCTCACCTGTTTTTTATATGATAATATATTGCTAATGCCACACTGAAAAACAAAAGCCACAAAGAAAAAAACTGTCTTTTAAAACCACAACAATAATTTATCATGAAACATGCTCCTTTACAGAACACACTCTAAATCAGCTGCATAAGACTAGCTTGGCATCATTTAAACACTCAATCACTCTCTCAGTTACCGCTAAGTTTGTCTGACTGAGTTTCGATTAACAAACTTATTCTACAATGTATCTGCCTACTCCAAATGGATCAAACACGTTCGGTGACCTAAGATTGAGTGAACTTTGATGTCAGACCACACAACTGAACTTCAAACAACTTAGGTTTACCAAATGCAATTTGATATGTCTCATGAACAGTTTGACATTTGACAGTGTGCCTAAAATATGATAAAATAAATGCTAACTACTGTATCATAAAAATAACATTACTACTAAAATATACTGGTATTAATTTTTAAGTGTAAAATGTCAGAAGCTGACAAAAACATAGGTAGTTTTTCTTGAATTTCCTGGACATAGTATTGAAATCTATGTTGAACAGTGAAAGCATCACTATACCATTTGATGGTGGACTTGAGATTAGGCTGACTAACTGTACTGTCATCAAGGAAGATTGTTGAACAGGAACTAAATTTTCTTGTTAATGTGCCCTGAAAAAAAACAAGTTACAGAACTGTTACTACTGACAGGTGCAATTTACAATATTAGTAGCCATCTTGCTAACAGAGCATTTATAAAATTGTCCCTACCTCAATGCCGTTTCTCTTTTCACTTCCAGTGGACATTGTCCGTCTTCCTGGAAAGGTTCCATTGTTACCTGAAGGACAAACAGTAATTTATGGTATTTGGTTGGAATCAGACAAAAGGGTCACCCAAACACCATTTGATTAGAAAATTAATTAATTTGCATATATAAAACAACAGCCCATTTCACACATTGAGAATAACAACGACATTAACATTAAAAATTGCAATCTGTGCATGCCTCCAAGAAGAAAAATTTTTTATCATTATAATTTTGTAAAAAACACTTATGTACTTGGAACAAAAGAAACAAATTAGCAAGTTCATGCCCCTACAGAAATATATTCACTCTTAGAAATAATTATTGAATAATGTAATGCAGCGTAATGAAACCGCATGCACCATTTAGCACCATTTGTATTAACGCCAATTCAAAGTCAATGGTAATTTGGCAATGCAGTATATATTGTCACCATGTTAAATTAACGGTCACTCGCTAAAATTGCCTGATGAGTGTGGTCACCTTTAGGCCATACGAAAAAAAGCTGTAGCAGTAAAAGCGATGTATAACCTCTGAAGCCTTGAACTACAGCATCTTCCAATACATGACAGGACATATCAAGGAAAAATTTATGACATAAGAAATCATGAATCATGCTGGGTTCCTTAGGTATAGCGGAAATCAGTACTATTAAATTTGGTTAAAATTTTGCACATGCAACTGTGAAAATCAAAGCTTGGGGTTCCTTTTTTCACCTGTTAATTCTAGTAGAATTATAAGTTAATTGACAGAAGCAATTTCAGAATTAATAGGACAATGAATAGGAGAGTATGTGTCATGCTTCAGTAAATGGATTGTACAGGCCATCAAGGGCATTTTCATAGGTCAGTTCCACTAGAATGAGTTGTTGCTTTTTTTTCATGTCTAGCAAAACCTCTTAGGAGATCTGGCTTTTCAGATTAGCCTAAAGTTTAAATTTCTAAATAATTTTATTATCCAAAATTTTTCCTAGTTGTGATAAGTTGCAAGGCTCAAAAAATTCCAGTATGTCCATTAGGCAAGCAGCTCTCACATTTGGCTTGCCTGGTGTACTGGTAACTGTTAAACACCTGCTTAATTGTGGGCGAAAAGAGGAGCCTGCAGTCCTAATCTCCAGGTTGTTATTGAACATGCATTGCATGTATGTAGCCAGTATTCATTTGAATGGAATGCACAGAACACCATTTGATGACTCGCATTTGGACCCTCTATCACTCATAATCGTGACCATCTATCATGTGAAACGTTGAAGCAAAAGCGTTTTGACCTTCGATTGTTGTCGCCGGCACTCAGTAACCTTTGGTTATTACTAGTCTAAGCTTGATTTAGGTGGCGGATGACCTGCCTGGACTCATGCTGATTGGACAAGTAAACTTACTTGCCGGACTACCAGTGGGACTCTTTGAAACCTGTATAGGGCTCGAAATATTTTCCACTGAGAGAGTCTCTGGAGACGACTGGCCAAATTCATTTTAGCTTGGTCACGTATTGTTTCTGGCTGGTCAATTTTATAAGATAAATAACTCTTAAAACAAGGGCCCATGAACCAAACCTAGCATTATGTATTTCCAAAAATTTAAAATTATTTGCTTATCTAATAAAGGTGAAAATATTTTTAAATTTGTAACCAGAAGTGCATGAACCCCAATGTCTGTTTCATTACGCAAATTGTAAACAACAGTTCTAGTTCAACCCTCCAAGTTGCGACCATTTTAGTCGCCATGGCGCCTAAAATTTTGGAACTGGCGACTTGATTTGGAGAATAGTTGGCAAGCTGGCGACCGTGAAGAATAGGTTCGTGTTGTGGCGTATAGAAACAGAAATGGTAATCACTTCTACTGAAATATCAAGAACATTTATAATTTCTAGCTGATTTGAATTCCATGATTTTTTTACTTAAAAAACAGTCTTAAAACAAAAAACTTAAAACAGTCTCAGAGTTAAGCGTTTTGAAAATGAACATATATGAAACTTGACTTGCATTCGTTCGCCTAATAGCCTTCAGTCTGTTGCCTTGCACGTGACATTTTAACTTTTGACATGTGACAGATGGCATGCAATCGAAGCGCCTTGCTTGTCGACAGTGACGATTTCTTCGATATCTTAGGAATGCTTGTCTAGCCAAGTTCGGTGGTTTTTTAACTGGACTACATATTATAAATATTTTTGACTCAATACTGAAACAATCTAATAACATGAAGAGGGAAAGCTAAATTGGTGCAAATTCAACACAGAACATTATGTGATAACCGTAACATGTGAACCGTGCTGCGAGTCGAATCGCGGTTTTGTAAACAAAAGCGATAATTGTAAGCGAAACTAAACATCGCAAAACTGACAGCTTATGGTTGTTGCAAAAAATGTTTTTTAAACACCTGTAGCAATGATAAAGGAAAGAGGAAATTTATTATTTCGTAGGCGGCATTTTTGTTTGGGTTCCTTTCAATTGATTGGGAAAAAAAATTTTTCCCAGTACAACTCGTTGCGAAATTTTCACGTGTGCGATGTTATCTCTGTAAAGCAATGATTTCATTTAGAAAACTTGTCAATCTTCCTATACTCTCCTGCCTTTGTCAGGCTTTCGCAATGTCTAGCAATGTTAAAAACAACCTTTTAAATCTCCAAAAATATTTGATAGTTGGGGAAACAAGTTCATCATCAACAAAAGTTGCAAAAGAAGTGCGAAACAAATATCAGAAAAAAAATAGGTCGCCTATCAAGGTGCGACTGGGAAATTTTGAAAACATTAACAGAGGATGAGTTAAGTTCTGCTCTCATATACCAACTGGGGATTATATAGTAGGATTGAAGGCCCTAAAGACAAATGGAAATGGTAATTATCTTTACATTTCCGTTTCAGTATTGATTCAAGGAGATAAATCTGCAACCCTTATTCTCAGACTATCAGTAACTAATGCCTTGCACAATAAACGAGTAATTTATATGACAGTGCTGCATTTTAAGTTAAACTTGCTAACTGCTTTTGTTAATGACAATTTTGATATATTAAGTCATTAATATAATTTGGCGCCTAAAAATTTCCCCTGGCGACTAAACCCAAAGAGCTGATCGCCAAATGGCCACTGAACAAAAATTTTAACTGAGGGTTGTAGTTGCATTTCACCCAAGATTTCAGATCAAAGTTCCACAGTACACAGCAACTCACTACATTACTGATAACAACGGAAACAACTGAACATGGTCAAAATAACCCGCAAGATGAAAGGTTGACCGGTCAACTCCCCAATCAGTCCGGACATTGTTTGTTGACCGGCCGTTATTTCGAGCTTTGCCTGTAGTTTGTAACAGAACTTCATGTTGTCAAATTCTTAGAGAAAGACTCCTGCTAAGGCTTGGTCTCATTCTACTTAACTCCTTGTACGATTACAGACTGAATTGGACTTCAGTTCTGTTACGATTAAGAATCATGCAAAAACCACATCTGACCGTAATATTGTGATAATGTTGATTCATTTCAATTACCTTAAAAATAGAATAATGTAACAATATAAGCAACTATTTGTTGTATGCACACATGAAAGAAAAGCCTCATTTAGAATCTGGCAAGAAGTTTAGAACATGGCACCAAAAAGTTACAAGTAACATATTCTTGTTACAGGTTTATTCACCTTGTTGTGTCCTTTTGTTTTGCCACAATTTTAAGAAATAAAAAAGACAATATCTTAAGCTCCTTGTACAAGTCAAGGGCTTCTTTGATTGGTAAATTTAAAAATTTCAAAAGTACTCAATATGGAATTTAATACCCCGTTTAAAATTACATTGTCAATTTATTACTGGGGGCTGGATCAATTCAAGGTCAAAATGGACCAATCTTGGTCTACAATCAGATCAGGGAAAACAGAAATTATAAGTAAAGTTATTCGGTTCCATTAGCATGAAGATTTGGACTAGATAAGAAACGAGGCAAATGATAAAATTTACCGTACTTACAGCGATCTTAAAATAAAAATGTTGCCGATATTGTACCCAAAACAGATCAACAAAGCAAAGTGGGATGATTCTTGCCTATGTCATGTTGCGTAAAAGTTAAGGAGCGCTTAAGGAAATAAGCTTCTTTTTCATCGTTCGATCCAATACCTATAAACGGTTCGTGGAGATGAAAGAAGCACGCTCATAGATTTCCAAGCCTGATCTAGCTGGTTTTAGAAGTCTTCTAGTACATGTGACTACAATGTGATGGAGCAGCTTACCAAAGTATAACATCTTCCAACTTAGTGTTGTTGCTTTATCTTACCTGGATTAGACTGAGATCTGTGTAGGAAGAGTGTCCCCTTGTGATTTGAAAGATCTGTGGCGAAAATAGAGAAAGTAAGCCAACAATATGTTTAATCCAATTCGCTTTCTGTTAGCATGCACCAGTCACTCGGATCACGTACAGAGCAAACCGATTAGCTTTGAACAAACATTGGTGGTACCTTCTCGGTCACTAATGTGAGGTAGTTCGAAGGACTCGTTTGCAAGGCCTGTCCTGTCATACGGCTCATTTTTGGTTAAATGCCCGCCGTGTGGCGAAGGAAGCACGCAACACTGGATGTTGCCCATGGTTCTAATGAGAACAGGTCCCCTCTTCGCGACAACGATAAATCCCTTCTCACCGAGAAACCGTCTGCTACATCACTAAAATCTGCCGAGTTTTTGCTTCGGGTACTTAGCCAGGGACCTTCCAGATGTACTCATGTCCTCAAAAGGTGATTTGAGAGGATTATTTCCAGATAAAAGTTTCGAGAAGGTACATGCACTGGAAGGATATAGGCGAACAACAAACAGACTCTCAGATAGCCTCCGTATTTTGATTGGTCTTCGGCTAGCGTTACGTCATGGATTGTTCATATATGGAAGGAAAATTCCGGATTGACCTGGGAATTGGGATAGAAAATGGTAACATTTTTATCACTAATGTACCGTGACCCCCAAAGACTGTAAAATAGGAATACTTTTAAAACATCTCTCAACCGTGTAATTTGTCATAACGAACAGGATTTTAGTGACCTAGACAACTGACGTATAGCACTTGTGTAGTTAATGTAGTGTAACAGGAGTCTTACACTAAAGTTTCTAGTTGACACTCACGTATTAAAACTTTCGCAAGATAATGGGAGAAAATATTCAAGTAGTTACAGTGAATTTTGACTTGACACGCAACATTTGGTGCTTTAAGTACAAAGTGCGCCACACGAGATGCGCTCGAGAGAAGTGTGAAGGGGCCCCGGCCAAGGAGGGGGCCCGGGGGCATAAAGACCCCCTTCTTCCTGTCTACGCCTCTCCCCGGCTTATGTCACGCGATTTAATAGAACTCTTCCATCGCCTGGAACGTAACACATTCTTGATAAATCCCCTGAGCAAAGGTAAGTTTCCAGCCAATTGTATCCAGGGTGTACCATGTAACACACCCAGAATATTATACGTAATTTCGTCGGATCGTTTGTTTAAAATAGATAAACTATAATGGAAATAGCGCACATCCGGTTCTCTGGCCGGAAATACATCTTCGTTGCCAGCTTAAAAATGAAACAACTAAAATAGCAAAATTATACTGGTGTGCATACGGTGTTATTTTTAGGGTTTTAAAGATAGACAGAATTGATCATGAAATAAAAGTGAAATAATAAAAAATAAACAGGAAGTAATATGAATTGTACAAACTGAAATTAAAATTTTATAACTTCCAGTATTTTGCTTTGCGGAAGGTAAGAAGGAATATTTTTTCTATTCTTAATATTGTCAATTGTACCTAAAGAAAAAAAAAAAAGAAAAAAGATGGAGAAAAATTTGTAATTTAGACGAGACGGCATCGTTTACTTACAGCGGTTTCTTCATTGAAAGAGAAGTACTGGGTTCCACTTAGCAACCTTCTCTTGACAACCACATGCAAGGAGCCATATTTACAAATCTTCTCTCCATCTTTTCGAAAAAGAGTGATCTAAAGTACAAAAAACGTTTTCAGCGAAATGTATGACGACGATGACGAGCCTGAAGGGCCAAAAAGTTCATTTACAACTTATCTTTCAGAAGGAAATGTTCATTTTAACCAGGGAGAGTACAAAAAAGCTCTTGATAGCTACACTCAGGTATTTTAAGCTTTTATGATAAGCTAGATATAGAAAAACTAGTTATGAAGCTCACTTAATACAGTAACTCGGTTTGGAAGATTTATCACCATATGCTCTCTTTTATATCTGCTGGTGCTCTGTTACCTCATCGGCTAACTCTGTTGTGCACTGTATGTCTTCTTATAAAATCATATCAGGAGCATGATTCCTATACTTGGACGAATATCAACGGATATGGCTGCTACGGACTGAACTCAAATTAACTCCTTTGTGAAAATGAATGTCAGACAATTTGCCCCTGACAACTAGCCCCCAGTTTACAGTATCACCTGAGTTAAATATCCTCTAATCGCTCGTTTAATAAATGAACTGTCTTCAATCCCTTTCTAAATGTCTAGTTGTGTGAGTGACTCCCGCCCCTTGAAATTCTTATCTTAACTAAAGCTTAAGAAGTTTGTGATTCGAATTTACTTAATACATGCGGGGACGTGTGGTCCGAGAGACTCCAGCCCCATGAAAAACAAATTCTTATGTAACTAAAGCCATTTAAGTTTGCAATTCGAATCTATTTTAAACAAATTCTATATGACAAACTTAATGTGGAACTTAAGTCAATAATATGGGGGCTAGTTGTTGGTGGCTAATTGTCTGGATACCGGGAAAATCCTTGCAGATTTACAGATCTTAGGTTGTGCAAAAGTCGATAGCTCTAAGCTCTGGATAAATCCCAGACAATGACTATGGTATAATGTAATTTGTTTGAATGGCTTCAGGAGAGAATTTTTTTCACTTTTGTTCATAGGCTCTAGAGTTACAGCCAGGATACAAGGTGTGCCTTGTTCAGCGATCAAAGTGCTACCTGCGGCTGGGTGATCCAGATGCAGCATTAAGAGATGCAGAGGAATCACTTGCAGAAGACAAAGACTATAACAAGGTTTTAAAACAATGTCATGAATAGCATTCTTGTTGCTGTTACCAAAGCACAAATAATAAAATTCCACTTAAACTGGAGTTTTTCCGGTGCCACCACTTACTGTAGATTTTTTAGTCAACTCTGCCCTTGAAAAAGTAGGGACTTTAAGATCCAATGACATGACAGCAACAAGAACGTCGCTTAAAAAGTGAATTTATGTTCTTTCAGTCTGTATCGCAATTATTTCTGCCCACTTTCTTTGTCAAATGTAGTTGAACCCTCCTGGAGTTGACTTTCTAAGAACCATATCCAAGTTCAGAGAGAGAGAAATAAAATTTCGTTGTTGCTTATTTATGTAGCTCTATAAAACGTGAAATTAGGCATTTTCACGTCGTAGTGGTGTAAATATGGGCAAAGAAGTTTACAAATAAGCATCATGCATGTGCAAAGTAGTTGATTTGCTTATGAAACCTATTGCTTTTTGACGTTCTTGTTGCTGTCCGTGGTGTGGCATCTTAAAGTCCCTATTAGGGACCTTAAGACCTGGGAATGGCAATACCAGTAGGTTTAATAAGCTGATATAAAACAACAACTTTGCTCTTGCAACCCACTTTTTGGTATGTTTCTTTGCCTCCACTGCATGGTTAACCTCCGTCGCAGACTTAATTTAACCTCAGCTGGTATCGTCTGCAAAGGAGCCTTGAGGTCCTTGTTCTGTGCCCCCAAAGGACTCAACAAATTACCGGAAGTGTGTTTCAAATTTCCTTTCATGCTGATTGGCAAATCAGTAATGGCTTTTTTAACAGGCCAATCATGGCGCGTACTGAAATCCTGGTACACAGGTGGGAACCCAGAACAAGAATTTTGGTGCTGTTTTGCAGACGGACTTAACCACAGTTTGGTTTCGTCTGTGGTGCAAGCTACTGCATGATTAACAAACAAAAATGTCTAATTTTACCTTTAAAGGAGGGCAATCTAGGGTGATATTTTTGTATATGAAAATTGGGGCTTAAAGGATTAATTGCAATGACTAAGTCATAAGTCATTATTAATAGTAATAATAATTTTATTACTATTAATGATTATAAATAATAATTATTAATAATAATTATAAAAAGTAATTATTACTTTTTATGACTCAAACTACTTGTAGGGTCTTTACCAGAAAGCAGAAGCCCTTTACTCAAAAGGTGACTTTGAGTATGCTCTCCTTTATTATCACCGTGGATACAAGTTGCGGCAAGATCAAGAGGAGTTTAAACTTGGAATCCAGAAGGCTCAAGAGGCTATAGACAATGCCATTGGAAGTAAGATATTGGTTTCTTGAATGTTAATCTATGACTGCTTGCAAAAAGGATTGACGGGGGGGGGGGGGGGGGGGTTGGGGGGGAGTGGGGTTTTTTTTTTTTGGGGTTTGGTGGGGGGGCACCCCGGGGCGACTCCCCCCCCCCCTCCTCCCTCTCTTCATTTTCTACTATATACCACAATCTACTCTA